ACAGAAGAGCTGAATGTGACACGGCTCCATCAGACAGCACCCCCCCCCACCACACACAAGAAGAAGAAGGGTACGTACCTTAGCCGCCCTCTCCTGTTCGCTGCTGTACAGGAATGTACCGAATAGACAGCTGTAGAGGTGGTCCAGCACGGTGATCAGGAACAGCTCGTTGAACTCAAAGGCTGCTGGGAACTGCAGTCAAGAGGCACAGAAGGGTTAAGAGTGACAGCTTCAAAATGTCCACGACACCTTTAGAGCAAAGGGATGAAAGCCAGGTGGAACTTTAACCCTGTGGAGATCACCGATCTCTGCGTGATCGGAGCCCATTTGCAAATGCTGTAATAATCTGTTGAAAGACAACTTGGTTGTGAATCTTGATTTCCTGTTAGTTACCTGTCGAGTCATCTGCCAGACGCAGTCGATGAACTGGACGAAGAGAGGTGAGCGCTCCGAGTTGGCATGGTTCTCGTCGCCGTGACCGACGCGCTGCGGCACAAAGCAGAACGTTAACCGACACTGAATCAGGTTCTTATGTGAAACAAGTATTCAACACAGAGAGCGGCCGTGATGTGTCCCATAATATGTCTCTTTTCTCCCCTGTTGTTCATTTGGTGTTTCTATCACATTAATGCATCATGTCTACATTCTGGGCATTTATCTCCAGAGAAATGATTTAAAGTCGTTGTCACCCCACAGAAAATGCTTCGATGATCACAATGACTGTTCCTTACGGCGGCAAACTTGTGTCCAAAGCTGACCCACTCCTTCTCCACCAGAACCTGCAAACACACACACACACAGAACATTATCACGCTGCGGGGAGGAAGGCTACGGCACACGGCTGATTATCGCGGCGCAGTGTCGGTGTCACCTGGAACCCTCGGAGGTTGCGGTAGTGGCTGTCCAGCATCAGCATGGCCAGAGAGGTGAGCTGAGCGGTCCGGTCCCAGCCGTCGCTGCAGTGCACCACCACCGACGTCTTCCCCGATTCCAGCTTGTCTGCTATCTTTGCTGCTCCCGCTAATAACAGCTAACACACGCACACACACGCACACACACACTTAGTAAAATACTCCCACAGTGATGAAGAAACAAGTGTGTGCTGTGAGCTACCCGTATGTACTCCAGCCAGTGCGTCTGGTCGATAGCGGAGTGCCAGTGGGCTTCATCGATGGTGGGGTAAACCACGTCCTTCATCTTCCTCAGAGACTCCCTCATCACGTGGATGTTGGGGATTTCCAGGAAGTTGAGCTCCACGTTTGGGTAGAAGCTCTCACTCTCGTACCCTCCGTCCTTCGCCTGCACGTGGGGGGAGGCGGTGGAGGGAGGGAGAGAGGGAGGGGGAGAGGGAGGGGGAGAGCGAGAGAGAAGAAAATAAGTCAACGTGCAACACGAGAAAGCAGGAGAAGTGTCAGCGCGTCGCACCTTGTTGGTCACCGCCACGCTGCTCTGTCGGGCGTCAAAGATGGTGAGCTTGTGGGACTGGGCGTTGGCATCCATGATGATTTGGAGGAAGCGCTCGTCCTCTTTGCAGCGGCGGTCCGATGGTCCGACGAGCGGCTGGCTGCAGCGTACGATGGTGGCCTGAGTCTCTGGGTGGATCCAGGACAGGACCTGCAGGAAGAGCAGGTGTTGTTTCAGGACCCAGAGGACTGACAGGAAACGCATCAGTGAGCTTTATCAACACACCAATGTCCTTTATTTTGACTCAATACCACACACACACACCGTCCTGCTGCCACACATACTCACTAGAGCATCAAATGTGGATTCATCCTCTGCTAAACATAGTCCCAAACTCATTCACTATTACCTTCTGTTCGAGTAATGTTTGCTAAAAACTGACCTGCTGTTTTAGGAAATTAAAACTAAATTAATTAACTAAAGAAAAATTACAAAAAATAGATGGGCTTGATGCTGAGAGAGAGACAGGGTGCAACAACCTAAAGGATGAGGCTACTACTGTAGCAGGCAGGTGTATTTTGGTTGGAGAGTGCACTGGAGGCCAAACATTTTGAGTGCGTCTTAAAAATTAAAATCTCCTCGAGTTCTATTCGGAGCACAATGGGCCAGCTGCCTCCTACAAAGGTCTAGAGTCTCAAAGCTGCACCAGCAACGCAACAAAAAAAACACTAACCCTGCTGACCTGTTCTGGAGCTCTCTAGCGGTGCATGGGTCGTGTTTCCCAGTGGACAGGGCGGCAGTCCCCTTGACTTTGTTATTAATGTTGATATTGTAATATAGTAATAAGCTTCTCCACTGACTAAATATTAACTTGTCTGTATTTACTGTTCTTGTTGTTCAGTTCATGTATCGTCTTTTGTCTTGCAAAAGTATTATTAATATATAAATATACTTATGTTAGTATGTGCTTGTGACACTGACCGGTATGCGGTGCTTGGCTCTGAACACTGCCACCCGTCTGACGTCCTCCTCTGTGATGTGGGTAGGGACCACCAGGATGGAGGGATAGGTGTCACACAGCTCGTAGCTGCTGTTCATCTTACTGATGGCCCAGCTCTCGTTAGGGAGGCCCTGACACCCCCCCCCCCCACACACACACACACACACACACACACACACACACACACACACACACACACACACACACACACACAGTATAAAGAGTACTCCATACAGCGTTACTATGCAGTGTTGCCTGTGGAATGAGAGGCTTGTTGTGCGATACAAAATATCAATTAGTATTCCACAGCACGTTTCTCCATCACTGTTAAAGACAGCATAGATAAGCTTCACTTTCAGCTTCCTGTCGGAAAATATTCCAAATATAGAACACACCTAAACACAGAAGTACATTAATCTGCTCACGTCTACTGTAGTAATACACTGACTATGGAGAAGTACCTCAGACAAACCGTCCCTTTAAGCTACTGCCAATCAAGCACTTCCTGTGCAGACATTTCACATTAAAAGTATTCCAGGTGACTTAATCCTCCTTGAAAAAATGTGGACTGATAGAAAAAAAAAAAAAAAAAAAAAAGAGTTTTTGCGTTTGACATAACTGTTGATTTGCTGATAGAATTCTTGGAGTGTTTCCATGAAGTGTGTGGTAAGCGATGGATGTGTCTGAGTGTGCACTCACCAGACGTCTGTACTCTGCTGCTGGGTCGTACACCTTCCAGCCATCCACGGGGAACTGCTCCTGGTACAGGAAGGAGAACAGGGGCTGAAAGAGTCACAGGACGCGTGTTAGTGTTCACAGCCCCGCCTTCAGTTTCATTATCAAGTCAGTTATTGATTATTAATTTCAAAGAATTAATCCATTTACGATGCAATCCCATCAAAACCTCCCATAAACCAAACTGATGTCGTCAAATCATTTATTTAGTCTAAACAAAACTGTTAAAAATGATATAACAATGACATGATCCCTCACTGGCATCCCACCAGTAAACACTGCCAATTGTGTAGCCTCCATTAGTGAATACTGAGTGAGACTGACCAGGCTGTGGGAGAGGGGGAAGGCATGTTTGGACAGCAGCTCCACCACGTCCGGATGGCTTTCCTCCGTCTTGTAGGCGAACCTAGGACTCCTCATGTCCTGATGACAAAGGGAGGACACAGAGAGAACACAAATCGTTAGTGTCAACGCAGACTCGTCAGTTACTGCTGAAATGGTGTCCCTGATTCTCTGGTACCTTGCAGACCAGCTCCAGTCCCTTGGTATTCTCTCCCTGGTTGGGAACACTGATGGTCTCCAGTCTGCTGATGACTCCCAGGTTCACGTCGAGAACGAACGGAGACTCCTGGATGTGCACAGACATTAACACACAGCTGCAAAAACACACAGAGTACTGTGATTGTAAAGTAAAGGTGTAAAATAATAAATCTGAAGTACCCGTTCCACGCTGGTGAAGTAGAGCTTGTAGTCTGTGATGGTCAGGGTTCCATTAACCAGACCACTGAACGGACAGATGTACATCACATCCTTAACTGCACGTCACACACAAAGAAACAAAAAGGTATTGATTTATGGGCAGGTAAGAAAGGTAAGACTATGCTGTTTGAAAATATAGATATATGTATAATATATTGCCTACTACATGATGAATATGGACACAGAACGGAAGCCCAGAGAAAAAAAATAATCCTGTGGTTCTTTTTCTTAGTCAGAGATAAATAGTTTCCCCTCCTTACTTACGAACAGCGCAAACAACAGGAAAACTGCTGACAGAGCGAACAGTGTTAACCTGAGGGGGACCCAGAGGATGGGCGCTACACTTCCACTGTGACGCTGGACTGCCGTACGCGAGCAGTGCAGAACTAACCAGTGGGGCACGCTCACGTGCACTAAAAACATAGTTACTATATTCATGCTCTGAGTATTGAATTTAGCATCTCTAAGTCCTAAACATGAGAGAGAAAACCATTTACATCAGGCTTCACAACGGAGCACCAGAAGAGTTTTTGTCCTCTCGGGGCTTCCGTCACACAGGGCTGCAGGACGGCGGAGGCGAACTCACCTGTAGTCTGGACGCTCTCTCCCGGTAGCAGAGGAACCTGGTCCTGGAACATTGTGACCGGCGCCCCGTATCTCAAAACTGGAAGGTTCTGCACAGAACACAGACCGGTCAGTGGGACCACAACAGGCTAGACCTGCACCACCGACACCTGACACAGCATTATTGAACGTGTAATGAACGGCTGAGATGGGCTTTATCTCTCTGCGAGTGTATTTAGACGACACCATCTGCAAGCTAACCGAACCAACGCTGCTAATGCTAGCGAGTAGCAGAGAGATGTCCCCTCAGGTTTTATGAGATGTAACGGGATGCTATTCACTGTTAGCCACTCTCTGATCCACTTGTTTTACTGATACAAATCAAAGTGCCTTCTTTAGGATGAAATGATGCCTGTTAAGAAGGCAGCTTGCTAAAACAGTGATCGTAATTACTCAAACTCAATGCATCAGAGCGTTTTTTAATAGATAAATGAAAGCTGATATAAATCACAAGGCATAAACAACACTGATGTCGGAGAAATATTAATGGAATATTTCTAAATATTAAAGTGATGTTAGAAATTAGGCAACAGAGAAGAAAGTTCTAAATTAATGAATTAATACATTCTAACATTCTCCCTAAAAAACAAAGGTCAGCATTGATACAACAGAGACTTTTAGTCCCTCGTATGGGAAGCATTGGATCCTACACTTCCCACAATGCAAATCAACAGCTTCTTCCTCCCGGTCTGTCAAACTCCAAACTTGTTATGCTACACGTGTTATTTGCCGTCATTTCTTCAGGACAGCAGCGCTGAACGGAGCTGAGACAGAAGGAGACGACAAGGCATGCAGACCAGGACAGAGGGAGGAGGAGGAGAACACGAGGAAGGACAGACAGAGAGACAGAGAGAGACAGACAGACAGACAGACCCAGAGACAGACAGAGAGAGACTTGCCAAAGCATTGGAAGGATGCTCAGAATCACTATCTCCATGGTAATAAAGCCCTTCATCTTGTGAGTCTTGCTGCCGGGGAGAGCAGCATAGAGAGAGTGAGAGACAGGGAGACATCATACAGTGAAGAGACATTATTCTGTAGGACACCGTTATTACCGTCACACCCCTCTCTGCTGGGCTGAGCTGGGTGTGTGGAGGTCAGAGCCCACACACCAACAATACACATTATTCCGTGTCCACACAATGATGGATTCCACTGGAAGCTGGCTGATGTCCATAAGAGTGTGACCGAGGCTAATCTGTCCTGTGGGCAACGGGGCAAGATCGGACGCATTCTGGTTTCTCACTGAGAAATATTAACCAATCACGTTGGAGCAGGCTTTGTTTCAATGCAGGCTGAAATGCAGTCTGGGAACCCGCCGGCCATCGCCTGACACTGCTTTAGCTTTCAATTAGCTCAGCTGAACCGGCCCTCTGTGAAACAAACTGGTTGGACACGCTGTCACTCAACTCCAGGTCCAGTCTCAAGTTGTAAATAATAACCGGCACACGTAAAAGGAAGTCTTGGTCCGGATATCCGCTGGCTACACCGCAACCCAAGAAGTATAGACCGATGTCCCCAGAGGCTACATCACAGTCAGACTCAGACTGTATGGCTGCTGACTTTTCAAACTGTTTCAACAGCCACGTCCACCCCATTGTTTCTTCTGCTGATGCTCCACACTCGCATGATCAGAAATCAGTCCTGATCATTAATGATTGGATTTTCATATCCATCACTGTGATGAAGTACCGTGGTCTGTCAAATTCACCGGAGACCATCTGGTTATTTTTAGCCATAAACTGTCTCTCAATTCATTTCCCAGGCTTGTAAACACATCACTATGAATACCAATTAGATAGTATGTATTATATACTATATAAGTAAAAACATTGCAGAACAGAAATGGAAAAAATGTTATTCAAATTCATCCTGAGTGGGACATTAATGTCTGAATCAAACATGACAATTCATGACAATCCATCCAACAGTTGTTGAGAGGACGGTCACATTTAACAGTGACACACTGATGAATGTTATTAGAGCTGCCCTCCACTGGTGTCAGATTCACCCTGAGCGTGTGAGCTCTGATAGGATTCATTGTGGTGTTACGAATAAACAAATAAAAAGTGTGAAGAAAGGTACAGAGAATGAAGAAGAAGAAGGCAGACTGAGCTGGATCTGGTGGAGATGAAGTGTGCAGTGGGTCTGATGCAGGAAGCAACTCTGACCTCAGACATCAGTGACACCGCATCCTGTTGGCTACATGAAACACAATGTGCACTCTCAAAGCTTATTACACTTAATATGATCTTTGCATCAGTGGAGTGAAGCACACAGATTTATCAGCTGCCGTTTCATTATTCCTGTCTGAAAAAAGTAAACACTTGCAACCGTTAGCAGTAGCTTTAGCCTGAAGCTAAGCTAGGCTTTTGGCTAATTAGCACACAGACCTGTGTACGTGCGTCTGTGAAATGTACAGTATGTAACAGAAGACAAGCTGATGAGACTACAACTCTTACCCTGGGAGTCAGCCTCTTGGACACCTGGAGACACCAAGTACACACACACACGGAGTTCATGCGAAATGGAATCGACTACATTCACGCTGTGATCTCAAACCGACGGTTACTTTCACTGCGTGGCATTACATCTTTCTTATTCTTGACAATGTCAAACAGTAAAATGAGACCTTCCTGTATTCGGTGCAAACAGCAAAAAGCAAACGCAACAACTGAAAGCTGCAGAGCAGATGTATATTTAAAACCAATAAGCAACATGAAAGCGCTGCATAAGACTTCATTCCACAGACGTGATAACTCTAAAGGACACTGCGCATTATTTATGAAGCTTTCTGTCTTGTTTTAAAAGATCATCTTTCAACTGTGGGAACGACACAAACTATATTCAATTGACCTCTACTGTATTGGGGTGGAGGCAGAAATCTCGAGACTCCAAACCAGGAAGCAACCTCTGGTTCTGAAAGTTGAAGCCAATAAGGAAGTGTGTTAAAGCTGCATTCTCTCTAGTGTCCAGCAGGGGGCGACTCCTCCGGTTGTATAGAAGTCTATGAGAAAATGACTACTTCTCTCTTGATTTATTCCCTCAGTAAACATGAGTTTATGGTCTCAATCTCTAGTTTGAAGTCTTCTTCAATACAGCGTAATGTTCATTTAGTAAATTATGGTCCATTTAGAGTCAAACAGACCATAAAGCAGGGTATGCTAGGGCGGGGCTACTTGTGATTGACAGGTCTCTACCGCTACCAGAGCCGTTTACGGCGTCCCTACGTCACTGCTCGGCAGTCCAAGTAAAAAAACAAACCGCGCTGGTTTACAAGATGTCGTCATAGCTTTTTTATGGTTATGAAACAATGTCAGTTTAAGGCCGTGTTGCTGGGCCCGCTGGAGGGAAGGGAGGCACTGTAGAACCAAGACTGACCGGGCCAGACTGTCACACCCTGCTGCAGTAAAATAAGAGGTTTTGTAAAGGGAATCTGCTGATCAGAAACTCTACCGCTTTTGTCCACATGGAACACCAATCGACAAAAAAAAAAAAGATTGTAGCATCTATTCATGTAAACTAACTGGTGTAATTTGCTCAAATCATAATTTTGAAGATTAACAATTACTTTGTTAGGATTCAACGACTCTATGAGATCATGAACAAGTCATGGAAGTTCGATTATGTCTTGCTCTCACCTTTCCTCTTATCTGGAGCTATATTTAAGGATGTTGTCACCAGGCTTACTTCGACTACTTGACCTGAGCCCAGCGGGTCACGGCAAAGTATCTGGTGTCAGGTCCCTTTGTTGCATACAGCAGGCCCGTGTGAGGGAACGCGAGGCTGTGGGTTATCGTAAACTATTTTCTCTCCTGTGTTTATGCCTTAAGAACAGGTAAAAAAATAAATATGTGTGTGCGTGTGTGTTAGCAAGTTATATAAATGACCTGGAAGAAAACATGAATGATCTTAATCCTGTGGAGAACATGGGATAATGGTGCCCTTCAGCCTCTTGTGGCTGAAATGAGTATTACAACAACAAACATTAAAATCATCCTGACAAAACATTTTGTCTCTTGAACCAATCTGCCTGTTGAAGGAATATTTAAATCAAAAAAAGAAACGTGTGCTTTGGTGGAGGGATGCAGGCTGCTGACAGCCAGAAGCGGAAGACAAACTGCACAGCAGCTCAGCAGTCGCTTCATCTAAACAGTGACAGCAGCTGTGACACTTTACATTCACACATACTGAACACACAAAGCTCTGCCCACACACACACATATATTTCTGCCAGCCTTACCATGAAATCTGGTCTTCTCCTAGCCTATCAAGTTACAAAACACACACTGATGAGAAATACTATCATCAGAGAGAGAGAGAGAGAGAGAGAGAGAGAGAGAGAGAGAGAGAGAGA